TAACCCCTTGTGAGGGAGCCGATTCACTTGCTTCTATGTCTTTTAAGCCACCGGGTCAGCCACGCCAGTGAAAATGCAAGAGAAAGGAGTAATAACAGCATCCAGGCTCTTAAACAAGGAATTGGAGCGAAAGGAAGAAACCTGCCTCCACCCATCACCAGATTTTGGACAAGAACATCTATTGCATGTCACCAGGACTGACCGCCGAGCGCTGCTCTGACCACTGCTCTCACTGGCGCGTCTCACTCTCAAAAACGGTGATGCTTCACTCTGTTGCCAAGGGCCCATTTATTTCCCCTACCATGCCCATGCTTCTTATGTTGTTACAAGCTTTTACAACAGAGAAAGATGGCAGGAGTAATGGAAGGAAAAGACTGCCGAAACACCCACACCTCTATTCCACAGCGCAGTGCAATGCACCTCTATAACCAACTGCATAGGATGAAGATCAGTCAAGTCACAGTATCATCTGCCAGCATCTAACCCAAAGTGCACTTTGTGCTTCCAACAAAATCATGTGCAGGCAGCCCCTGGGGCTGGAAGGACTTTCACATCATCATTACCGCATGCTGTACCATGAGTATGCTGCCTTTGCAGCATCAGGTAACAGAGTACGAAGGGAAGGTCCGTATTAGGAGTTTACAGAAATAAAAACATGAAGAAAATCGTTCCAAAGAGCATTCATCGAACATTTTGCTTAGACCCTCTGCCTATGGAAGGGAAGGACCAGTGCTATATGTCGAGGCAACTTAGCCCGTGGTACAGGGCTGCAAGAGAGAAAAGCTGGGCTCTACTCCTTGCTTTAACAATGACTTGCTGTGAGACCCCTGGCAAATAACCACTGAACCCTCAGTTAGCCATCTGTAAAATGGAACCGACTTCCAAGGGATCAGCTGGGCCTCACAATATAAGTAGCAAGTGTTGACTCATAATCTTCAACCAATCCGCTGCCCTTTCCCAATCCAAATACAACCCTTTCCACAACAGCAGTCAGATTTTAAAATATCTAGGTTAACAGAATCGCCACGATTCAGTGGATAAGCAATGTTGGGGGCAGAACCAAAGGATACCACTGTAGACTTGGCCTCCTTTCTGAAGCACTGAAGAGATTTCAGCAGTTGTGTTTAATCACCACTTGCAAGGTTTGGGTATAGTACATTTGTACCCTGAAGCCCCAAAGCCTGATGAATTACATTCTCCATTCACATTACCTGCTTGTGATGTATACCAAAATGGCTGTATGTTTATGAAAGGTGGAGCTTTCCTACCAAGGAAGAAGATAAAGCTACTTCCAGAAGGAGTTCAGAGTTGACTTTTGCAATTTTGTATATTAAAAATTTAAAAAAAAAACAACTACCAGATGAACTTTTTCACATTTTCCCTCCACTTTGATCAAACTTTCCATCCCCGGGGGCCAAGCCGCCTCCTGCCCGAGCCCGGCCGGCCAGAGGGCTGCGCTGCCTGGGGCCAGGTCCGACTACTGCACCCTACAGCGGTGGGGCAAGGGCCTTTGGGTGAACGCGGCCCCTTGCAGCCGTCGTTGGGGGGGGGGGGGAGTGGGTGGGGGCGAATGCAAAAAAGTCCTTGCACATGTGGGAGGGAAGGAATAATCATAAAAAACTGTTTGCGCGAGAAGGATTTCCCCAACTTTTTTTAGTCCGTAGGTCTCGTGGGTGTTCGGGGCTGGAAGGGACCGCGCGAGTCCGTCGGATAAGAGATACCACTTGTGTTTTTTTTGTGGCAAAAATCTAGTTGGTCAAATAAAAGATATCAAGTCTGGATTACATTGACCCAAAGCACCTCGTCTCCAGGAGGGGTGGAGGGGGACGTTCAGGCAGCGCCCAGGCAGAGAATGGGTGGCTCCCATGTCCCGGGGCCAAGTCTTGGTGCAAGCACCCAGCAGCGTGCTAGGCGAATGGCTACTTTCCCCTAGGCCGGGGAATTCGGAGGTTGCGAGGCTGCAAGGGTCCTCGGAAGATCGTCGGGTCCAGCCCCCTGCACCAGGCGGGGAAGATAAGTGTGGGGGGGGGTCAGGTGACCCCACGAAGGTGAGCACGGAGGGGAGGTCGGCCTTTCGTGCCCCCACGGTTGAGCAGGGCATCATGCCACGCATCTCCATACCCATCCTGCTTCCCATGCCCGTGTGCAATGACGCTGTAGGACCGACCTCACCCAAATCCCAACCCCCCATGGTAGTGAAAATGCTGCGGGTCAACTGCTAGGAAACCCACCTAAGCAGAGGCAGGAGTCAGCCACCAGCCACTGGCACTTTGGGATTAAACCCCTGTAAGCGAGCCGATTCACTTGCTTCTATGTCTTTTAAGCCACCGGGTCAGCCACGCCAGTGAAAATGCAAGAGAAAGGAGTAATAACAGCATCCAGGCTCTTAAACAAGGAATTGGAGCGAAAGGAAGAAACCTGCCTCCACCCATCACCAGATTTTGGACAAGAACATCTATTGCATGTCACCAGGACTGACCGCCGAGCGCTGCTCTGACCACTGCTCTCACTGGCGCGTCTCACTCTCAAAAACGGTGATGCTTCACTCTGTTGCCAAGGGCCCATTTATTTCCCCTACCATGCCCATGCTTCTTATGTTGTTACAAGCTTTTACAACAGAGAAAGATGGCAGGAGTAATGGAAGGAAAAGACTGCCGAAACACCCACACCTCTATTCCACAGCGCAGTGCAATGCACCTCTATAACCAACTGCATAGGATGAAGATCAGTCAAGTCACAGTATCATCTGCCAGCATCTAACCCAAAGTTCACTTTTGGCTTCCAACAAAATCATGTGCAGGCAGCCCCTGGGGCTGGAAGGACTTTCACATCATCATTACCGCATGCTGTACCATGAGTATGCTGCCTTTGCAGCATCAGGTAACAGAGTACGAAGGGAAGGTCCGTATTAGGAGTTTACAGAAATAAAAACATGAAGAAAATCGTTCCAAAGAGCATTCATCGAACATTTTGCTTAGACCCTCTGCCTATGGAAGGGAAGGACCAGTGCTATATGTCGAGGCAACTTAGCCCGTGGTACAGGGCTGCAAGAGAGAAAAGCTGGGCTCTACTCCTTGCTTTAACAATGACTTGCTGTGAGACCCCTGGCAAATAACCACTGAACCCTCAGTTAGCCATCTGTAAAATGGAACCGACTTCCAAGGGATCAGCTGGGCCTCACAATATAAGTAGCAAGTGTTGACTCATAATCTTCAACCAATCCGCTGCCCTTTCCCAATCCAAATACAACCCTTTCCACAACAGCAGTCAGATTTTAAAATATCTAGGTTAACAGAATCGCCACGATTCAGTGGATAAGCAATGTTGGGGGCAGAACCAAAGGA